GAATTAAACCCTCCCATCCTATTTGCACTCGTCTACAGAAAGTGTCAGTTCTGTTGTTGCAGGGACACCACAGGCCCCTGCCCATCCATCCCCAAACATGGAAGAACGTTGCTGTGAGGTGCCCAAATAACCCAGCCTCACCCCTCCCTGCAGCTGCTAACCCGATCCAGGCCTTACTTTGTTCCTCCAGCTTGTTGATGTCTCTCATGATGGCTCTGAAGAAGGGTCTCTGGTGGGGGTCGTAGTTCATGCACTGCTTCATCAGGTCAGCCAGCTCCTTGCACGACGGTGTTGCCAACACAAAATGCCCCTCGTAGAACCTCTCCTTCTGTAGGACACAAAGGGGAAACTCCAGGCTCAGTTCTAGCCTTCAACTTCATAAACCCACATTCTACATCAGATGTCACCATTGGATCCTCAACTCATTGGGAACCTGGACTTAACTTGGACTTTTCCTTTTCAGCAGTAACTCTAGAGCACCTCCTGGCAGCAGAGAATTATTATTGTGTTCAATCTGCTGTAGTTTAGAGCAACCACTTAAAACAGGTGAAGTTTCTAAACCACACTGAGGATTTCACCTTTCAGAAGACATTTCTCTTGCCAGGTTTGCCACGTTCCTTGTGCACCAGGACAAAGGGCCGAGTGGAAACGCTCGCCAAGGAACCACCACAAGGAATCCTGGCTGCTCCTCACAGCCCTCAAGAAGACACCAGCTTTGGGGCAGCTGGGATGAGGGTGGGCTGGTGCATTTCTAGCCTGGCTGTCCACCACAGGCAGGAAGGGGGTTGTAGCCAGGGCAGCAAGTTCCTTTCAGCTGCCTCCTGTTAGATCAGCTCGGGCAGTGACTCAAGGACTCAGTCATTTCCTTCAGGAGAGCAGCAGAAAAACTTCCAAGAGGAAAAAAAAGCACATTTGGAACCTAAGCTGAAGGCCCCCAGCAGTGATGACCAGAAACTGCCAGCAGTCAGGCAGAAAAAGGCTGATTTAAATTGGTTTTAGATTTCAGAGTAAACAATAATGGTGTCCCATGGGAGAGTAGTTTTGGAACAGCATCCAGAAGAAACAAGTAAGAACAGAAGAACCTACCTGCTCTTACACAGAACCCCAGTCATAGAATCGTGGAGTCATTTCAGTTGAATGAGACCTTTTAGATCCAAGAGGTGTTTAAGGTCACGTTGGATGAGGCCTTGAGCAACCTACTCTAGTTGAGAGGTGTCCCTGCCCGTGGCAGGAAGGTTAGATGAGAAGATCTTGGGGTCCCTCCCAACCTCAGCCATTCAGTAATGTCAAACCCAGCCCTGCCAGGTCCCCACTGCCCCATGTCCCTCACACCACATCTCCACAGCTTAGAAACCCTCCAGGGGTGGGGACTCCACCACTGCCCTGGGCAGTCCTTTGGGGAAATAACTTGTTCCTCAGCTCCAACCTCAGCCTCCCCTGGGGCAACTTGAGGCCGTTTCCTCTTGTCCTGTCCCTTGTTCCTTGGGAGCAGAGCCCGTCCCCCCCCTGGCTCCAGGCTCCTGTCCGGAGCTGTGCAGAGCCAGAAGGTCTCCCCTGAGCCTCCTTTGCTCCAGGCTCAGCACCCCCAGCTCCCTCAGCTGCTCCTCCCCACACTTGGGCTCTAGCCCCTTCCCCAGCAGCTTCGTTGCCCTTCTCTGGCCACGCTCCAGCCCCTCAAGGTCCTTCTGGGAGGGAGGGGCCCAAAACTGACCCCAGGATTTGAGGTGCAGCCTCCCCAGTGCTGAGTCCAGGGGGATGATCCCTGCCCTGCTCCTGCTGGCCACACCAGTGCTGACCCAAGCCAGGATGCTGGTGGCCTTCTTGGCACACATTGGCTCATATCCAGCCAGCTGTTGACCAACACCCCCAGATCAATTCAGTTTATAACTGGACACAGGGGTTAGAGCAGGACAGCATCAGAACTTCTCTTTAATTGTTACTATGCTGATTTTTTTAAATCCCCAACAAGGACCTCAACAAGGTTAGGTTGAAACAATAATCAGCAATTTTTGTAGTAGAGGACAAGAATTC